AGTTTGAGTTCAAATGAGTATTTCACAGATCGTATACGCCATACGCGCGAGATATCTTGGGGACGCGAAATAAACGAGGTGAAAGACAAACTGATGTTACATTCTTCAGTCCTATGTACGATTGTAGCTGTTATTTCAATTATTTATCAAGCCAAATACTTACCAACCGATCAGCCAACCAAGCCAATCAACCAACTCATTTCATCTAATCTCTCCAGTCATCCATCCATCCATTCCACCGACCAATGCATTCAGCCAGGAGAAAGACTGCGCCTCAAACTCACCCGTTCTGTTTCGAAGTGTTTTTTTTACATGTAAACTCACATATATCACTCAAACAACTAGTCGGTAGCATGAATGTAGTTATATCAGATATGTATGTTTACTATAGGCACGTACTACGTCATGCACGCTACGCTAACTGCAGAGCCGTTTAACAGGCAACTTTGTGAGGTGTCAGTGGATGATCTGGAACAATGAAGAACGAAGGAAATAGGTAAATTCCTGCTTATCGTCCAAAAAATTTGCTACATCTCGCTGCCAGACTATATATGATACGAATACGAATACATTACCAATACATACAGATACGAATATATGGTATGAAAATTATGAATACGATTATACAATGAATGTATTATTGGGTTGCATCGCCATCAAATATTTCTGCTTCATGAAGTAAATAGTAAAAAGACGTGCAGGACATACATTAGCACGAAGATACCTAGGAAAGAATGACCTACATAAAGTATAGTTATATGTTTATAAATATTATTATTTATTTAGTAAATTTAGTACTCTCGCCACACTAACCGATGATTTTTACACTGCTTGAATATGTATAATGACAAGTTGGAATGCAACCGCTCCAAAACAAAATCAATAAATTAACAACTATATTAGTTTAGATGTACACTTCGCTGAACGTCTTACTTTAATTCAAGTTTACCTGCATTTCTTTCTCGCTCGTTCAGCTTAATTGTTCTCGGAGGCCCGTGTATACACGTATGTCAATATAGTAAGGACATAATATTCACAAAATCTTCTAAATAAAAACATGTGCTCACTTAACCAGCCAACGATTAGCAACTTACTGCCCTACTGCCTCTAGGTGGGTTACGCTACAACGCACCTACAGGCTTTTTTTACAGTTATCGTTTTGTACGGCTACGCTATTATGCCAAATTTACTGCTCCCCAGTTGACTATCTCACAAGTAACGATGTACTAAACCCTTATGCTAAGTCTGAAGACAAAATATCCAAGCATATCTGCGTTACTGGCTACCACTGTAAGCACAGTGAATAGCGTTGAGACAGGTCTTCACTATACACGCTATGGACTGTTTTCTCGAGCAATTTAGTCAAGCAAATTCTGTTGGATGCGGCACGCCCCGGTACTGTGCCACGGCAAGATTCCGCGCTTCGCGACGCCGTCGATGAATGGGCGGAACTGTGCCAAAGAAATGATTCCTTTAAGTCGTTCACACAGCATAACAAGTGGCATATATTTCGCGTAGGGACGGGTATTTCCATCACTCCAAAACAACTATAGTCATAATACCAAATTGCGCATCTTGACAATTTTACCCAACATGCTCGAGAATTTCTACCGTGAAATACGCAATTCATTGATCTAAGCAAATACAGTCTTGCATTCACCCCCTTCTCTGTTAAAAAACAGCAACCAGCCCGAATTCCAACTGGCACAAATGAGTGTTCTGCATCAATATGTAACATTATAATTGCGTGCACTGCTCAACTCTGAATGCATAAGCAAGCAACAAAATCGTACTGTACGCGTTACTTTCGCATGCATTGACAACACTCGCATGCTTATTTATTACGCCCCGCACGCACAAACGGACGCGTCACACACACGCGCACACACACACCAACCCACAGGCCTGCTACTGCACGCGCCATAAGGAGCACACAAATACAATGCTCGCACGCCAGCCATAACCCTAAAGAGAGCAAGCAGGCCCGTTCTCACAATCGTGCCAGGGATTTAGGCGGAAACAACGCTGTTCGCCCACCAACTTCCACCTATCACTACACTTCATCACAGCCTATTCCCGCGTCGTCATCGCCCGCACGTATTTCAGTGAGTCGCGCGAGTCCATTCACCACGATACGGCCTCCCAGCGGCCGGGTTCACCGACGCATTCCGGTTCCCGCCCCCGCCCGAATTCCACGCGCCGCGGCAATGAGCGCCGATCCTAGTGGTGGGCGACTCTGTGAGGGGCTCAGGACGCGCTGGCTGGACGATGACGAGTTCGCGGGACCGGCCGCTGCAGCGCCCCTGCGTTGAGGGCACCTGCTATCCGGCGCCGCAGTGACGGCAAAGTCGCTGATAGAAGACTGCCCGGCGCACAGACGCAGGCACGCAGCCTGCAGCTCGCCGTCTTTTTTTTTTTTTGCCGCTAGCGCGCCAGACGCCGCACGCTTCACAAACCCGAGGCGCTCCGCCCCACGTGAAGCGGTCCGAAACTGGCAGGTTGGCAGCCGAAGGTGATCGCCGGTTGCGGCTTCCGCAGCGTCGCTTCCCGTCGGGCTCGGTCCGCAGTTTAGAGAGTAGAACTTTACCATGTATCATAATACGATATATATATATATATATATATATATATATGTATGTATGTATGTATACGATACGATTTATATAACCAATGATGTTATTGTGTCAGTGTTATATTTATGCTGTTCGTGAGTAGAGTTATATTTATAATTATCATATGCTGGTCAGGGTGTTATATTTATGCTGTTCGTGAGTAGAGTTATATTTATAATTATCATATGCTGGTCAGGGAGATATTAATTCTAATGTTATTGCTAATGGTGGCTCACAACGTGAGGAGCTCACAATGTGACTTATAACAACGGGCAAAGTCAGGTGCCAGCTAGGACATTAGTTGCTGGTTCACTACTTATAACAGAGGGGTTTCTGGTGCCGATTTTGACATTTGCCTGAGGCATGCTGACCGAGGCAAGATAATGACTAGGATGACTGGGATGACTGAACATATGGCTATTATGCACTCCTTCTTCTTTACTTTTACTTACAATCCACTCTTTTGAAATCTACACATGATACGTGTTGTAAGCAACTGAATTATGTTATGGAATGTTGTGGTGCACGGGAATTCATAACTACAATAATATTCACGTCATACCGTAATAGGCAAGCCAACTTCAATTTGCTAATCAACAAATCCAACTTGTTAGCATGATCATATCACATCATATCGTTTTATCACAGCCGTCATTTAAATCTATTATGACGTAACAGTCACTGTGACTTGCTCTTGCTAATCGCAAATCAAATCTGACCAATGAATGCGATCACATGAAAAGGCACCCAAACATCCCCCGCCGCTGCCGCCGCTGTAGAGGACCTCCCACGAGGGATGCGAGCGCTAGGACGCGGGGCGCTAACGTAGGGGGGGGGGGGGGGGTCGTCGTTTAAAGGTGTTTACTGGTGGAATCAGTTTGAGTTCAATGAGCTAATTTCTCAGGTCGTATACGCATTACGCGCGAGATATCTACGCGAAATTAACACGAGTGAAGACAAACTGATGTTACATTCTTCATTCCATGTACGATGTAGTGATTATTTAATATTTATCAAGCCAAATACTTACCAACCGATCAGCAACAAGCCAATCACCAACTCATTCATCTATCTCCCCAGTCATCCATCCATCCATCCACCCACCAATGCATTCAGCCAGAGAAAGACTCGCGCAAACTCATCCGTTCTGTATTCGAAGTTTTTTTTACATGTAAACCTCACATATATCACTCAAACAACTAGTGGTAGCATGAATGTAGTATAGTCATATATGTATGTTTACTATAGCACGTACTACGTCATGCACGCTAGCTAACGAGAGCGTTTAACAGGCAAACTTGTGTAGGGTCAGTGGATGATCTGAACAATGAAGAACGAAGGAATAGGTAAATCCTGCTCTAATGTCAAACAACATTGCTACATCTTACGTGCCAGACATATATGATTACGAATACGAATACATACCAATACATACAGATACGAATATATGGTATGAAATTATGAATACGATTAATACATGAATGTATTATTGGTTGCATCTCCATCAATATTTCTGTTGATGAAGTAAATAGAAAAAGACGTGAGGAATACATGAGACGAAGATACCAGGTAAAGAATGACCTAATAAAGTATAGTATATTTATAATATTATTATTTATTTAGTAAATTTAGTACTCTGCACACCTTAACCATGATTTTTACACTGCTTGAATATTTATAATGACAAGTGGAATGCAACCGCTCCAAAACAAAATAATAAATTAACAACAATAGTTTAGATGTACACTTCGGCTGAACGTCTTACTTAATTCAAGTACATGCATTTCTTTCTCGCTCGTTCAGCTTAAATTGTCTCGGAGGCCCGTGTATACACGTATGTCATATAGTAAGGACAATATATTCACAAAATTTCTAAATAAAACATGCTCACTTAACCGCCAACGTAGCAACTTACTGCTACTGCCTCTAGTGTGTTACGCTACAACGCTACCTACAGCTTTTTTACAGTTATCGTTTTGTACCCGGGTACGCTATATGCAATTACTGCCCCAGTTTGACTATCTCACAAGTAACGATGTACTAAACCTTATGCAAGTCTGAAGACAAATATTCCAAGCGATTCTGTTACTGGTACCATGTACACAGTGAATAGGTTGAGACAGGTCTTCACTATACACGCCTATGACTGTTTTTTCTCGAGCAATTATCAAGCAAATTCTGTTGGGTCGATGAATGTGGGGAACTGTGCCAAATAAATGTATCCTTTAAGGTGTTCACACAGCATAACAGTGGATATATTTCGCTAGGGACCGGGATATCATACACTCCAAAACAACTATTATTCATAATACCAAAATTTGGCATCTGACATTTTACCCAAATGCTCGAGAATTTTACCGTGAAATACAATTATTGATCTAAGCAATACAGTTGCAATTCACCCTTCTCATGCTTAAAAACAGCAACCAGCCCAATTCAACTGGACAAAGAGTGTCTGCTCAATATGTACATATAATGCGTGCACATGCTCACATCTCTGAATGCATAAGCAAGAACAAAATCGTACGTACGCGTACTTTCGCATGCATGAACACACACTCGCATGTACGCCCGCACGCACGGACGGTCACACACACGCACACACACACACCAACCCACAGGCCTGCATGCACGCGCATAGGCAGCACACAAATACATGCTCGCACGCCAGCGATAACCCTAGAAGAGAGCAAGCAGGCCCGTTCTCACATCTGCAGGGATGAGGCGGAAGACAACGCTGTCTCGCCCACAACTTCGCACCTATCACTACACTTCATCACAGCCTATTCCCGCGTCGTCATCGCCGCACGTATTCCATGAGCGCGCGAGTCCATCACCACGATACGGCCCTCCCAGCGGCGGCTCACCGACGCATTCCCGAGTTCCCGCCGCCCGAATTCCAGCGCGCGGCACATGAGGCGACTCCTAGTGGCGACTCTGTGAGGCTCAGGACTCGCTGTGCTGGACGATGACGAGGCTCTGCGGGATCGGCCGCTGCAGCTCCCCCTGGTGGGCACCGCTATCGGGCGCCGCAGTGACGGCAAAGTCGCTGAGGTTGAAGACGCCCGGCCGGCAGACGCAGGCACGCAGCTGCAGCTCGGCCGTCTGCCGCGCGCGCAGCCGCACGTTCACAAACGAGGCGCCCGCCCACGTGAAGCGGTCGAAACTGGCAGGTGGCGCCGGTGATGGTGCCGGCTCCGCAGCGTCGCCGTCGGTGCTGGTCCTGCAGTAGAGAGTAGAACTTTACCAAGTATATATACGATATATATATATATATATATATATATATATATATGTATGTATGTTGTTAATGCGTTTGTATTAAGGATGGCCTGTTACTCAGTCGGTGGCAGTATATATGGCTCAGCGTGGAATGTTGCGTTGACTGGATTCACAAGTACAAATGGACAATTCGCACAGTATGCAACGTAGTCATTGTCGGTGATTATTTATCGTCCGCTGTAGATAAACTTCTAGCCGTACTCTTCTACCATGCTACTGATATGTATTAGGTTATACCTGTGGCTTGTTCAAACTTGTTTGTTGAGGTTTAGGCTTATTAGTGCGTGATTAGCTCGCGGCGTCGTTAAACCCACGCCGGAACGGTTATTCGCCTTTCCATTTTACATTCGCGAGCTTATGCCGCTGGCAACTTCCTCTGCATATAATGTTTGGTGCTCCAATTCCAACCCATCCGCGAGTACGTAGAGTGTTTGTGATATACCTTAAATCTGCCGCCTCTTCTTGTGTTGAGACCGTTTCGCGACCCTACCCGACCGTTACGTAGTCGCAATCTCTGAGAACGGATCGCAACAGTAGGGTGGATACCGGGCGCCAGTTGAGGTACGATGTGACTTTACGGAGGATGCTTTGTCCGATACAACGCGTCGGCTATACTGGGCCAGAAATCGCCTAATTTATGCTAAGATAACGTATGACTATTGTTAATGTTAAGACTATATGTTAGGACTATTTTGTTTTGAAACGGCCCCAGGTGTTATTAGTTCGTAGATTGTCGGCCAGGATGATCTTGGCGTCTTCGAATCTGCGGGAGGTGCGCTTGTGTTTTTGCGTTCTTGCCGCTCTCGAGCCGTCGCGGCGATGCATCCGCCCCTGGAACTATCTATTCTGATAGTACTTCACGTCCGTTACTTTGAATGGAAGGACCCCAGCGCGCCAGCGGACGGCCAGAACATGCGGCGTGGCTAGCTGACCGTTCTTCTCAACACAGTGACACGGGGGCAGGTGGCGTGCCCCTATAAAGGGTTGGGTGTGACGAATCGGCATGGAAAAAGCCGATGGCTACGTGGTCATATGTTGAGGCGACGTCATTCAGTGGCGGGGGGGGGGGTCGTCGTTAAGTTGTTTACTGGTGGAATCCAGTTTGAGTTGCAATTGAGTATTCTCAGGTACGTTATCGGCATTTAGCGCGAGATATCTACGCGATAAACGCGTGAAGCAACTGATGTTACATTCTTATTCCAATGTACTGATATAGTGCTTATTTATCAAGCTAAATATTACATACGATCAGCACCAAGCAATCACAATCTTTAATCTATCTCTCGTCATCCATCATCCATCCAGCACCAATTGCATTAGCGAAAATTACTCGCGCAAACTCATCATTCTGTATCGAGGTTTTTGTTGACATGTAACTAATATATCACTCAAATGTGGTAGATGAATGTGTTGTTATATGTATGTTAGTTATAGCAGTATAGTCTGCACGCTAGTTACGAGGCGTTTACAGGAAACTTGTGTAGGTGTCAGTGGATGATGAGACAATGGAAGGACGAAGAATAGGTAATGCCTGCTTAATGTCAAACATTGACATCTTACTGTGCCGCATATTTGGATTTCGAATACGAATACATACAATATACGGTATTACGTTATGCGTATGAATTTGAAACGGTAATACTGAATGTATTATTGTTGCTCGCCATCATTTTCTGTCTGATGAGTAACTAGAAAAGACGTGGGATAATGAGCAAGATACGGTAAGAGTGCCTAATAAAGGTATAGTATATTATATATTATTATTTATTAGTAATTAGTACTGGCAACCCGATCATGTTTTTCACTGCTTGATATTTACTAATGACAAGTGGAATGAACCGCTCCAAAACAATAATAATGGAAATTACAACAATAGTTAGAATGTACATTCGGCGAACGTTACTTATTAGTAATGCATTTTTCTTTTCGGCTTCGTTCAGCTTAATTGTCTCGGAGGCCTGTATCCGTATGGATATAGTAAGGACTAATAATTCACAATTTCTAATAAGAATGCTCACTAACCGCCCAACGTAGCACTTCTTCTAGGCCTCTAGGTGTGTTACGCGTGCCGCTTAGCTAGCAGCTTTTTTTCAGTTATCGTTTTGGTACCGGGTAGCTATATGGCAATTACTGCCCAGTTTGATTATTCCAGTACGAATGTATACTTATGCAGTCTGGACAATTTCCAGCGATTCTGTTCTGGTACCATGTACAGTGATAGAGTGGACAGGTTCTTCACTATACACGCCTATGAACGGTTTTTTCTAGAGCATTATCAAGCAGTTCTGTTGGTCGAATGATGTAGAGAAATGTGAAAGAAAGTGTCTCCGTTAAGGTGTTGACACAGCTTAACAGTTGGATATATTTCGTCGGGACCGGATTATATAATATATCCACTCAAAAAACTATTATCATTATACCAATTTGGCATCTGATTTGTTCCCCAAATCCTCGGAGATTTTACGTGAAATACAATTATTGCTCTAGCATACGAGTTGCCATTCAACTATTCTTATGCTTAAACAGCAACCAGCCCATCACTGGACAAGAGTGTCTGCTCATATGGTAGTATATGCGTGAACTGTCACATCTCTGAGATGCTAGAGCAGAACAAAATTAGTACGCTACTTTGCATGCATGAACACCACTGCATGTACGCCCCACGCACGGACGGTCATCACACGACACCATAACCAGGCCTGATGCCGCGCGATAGTCAGCACCAAATACAATGCTCGCCGGCGTGAAACCGTAGAACGAGCATGAGCAGGCGTTCTCACATCTCAGGGACGCGGCGGAAGAAGAGCTCTCTCGCCCATTCGACCTTCTTACACTTATCACGCTATAATCCGGTCGGTCATCGCGCAGTTCCATGGCGCACGCGCAGTCCATCAGAGACACGCTCCAGCGGGGCTCACGACGATCCAGAGTTCAGCGCGCGGCACACGAATGGCGATCTCAGTGGCCGACTCTGTGGGCTCAGGATCGGCTGTGCTGGACCGATGTCGAGGCTCTGCGGATCGGCGCTGCAGCGCCCCTGGTGGGCCCGCTTCGGGCGCGCGAGTGACGGCAAGTCGCTGAGGTTGTGAGACGCCGGCGGCCCCCCCCCCCCCCCCCCCCCCCCCCCCCCCGTGACGCGAGGCCGCGCTGCCGGTCGGCGGTCGCGCGGCGCAGCGCGCACCGTTACGAAACGAGGCGCCGCCACGTGAAGGCGGTCGGAAACTGAGGTGGCCCTGGTGAATGGTGCGGTCCGCAGCGTCGCGCTTCGTGTGCTGGTCCTGGCGGTAGGGATAGACTTTCCAGTTATATATACGATATGATAATATATATATAATTAGTATATATTTTATATATGTATAATATGTATTGTATGTATATTAATATTGACATGTGATACGATTTGATTTATTAACGATGTGTTATTGTGGTCGTGTTTGATTTATGTGTTGTGAGTGGTTTTATTTATAAGTCATATGCTGGTCAGGGCGATTTATTCTAATGTTATTGCTAATGGTGGCTCACAACGTGAGGATGTTGAGTGCATGTGACTTATTAACGGGCAAGTCAGGTGCAGCTCGGACATTAGTGTGTTCATACTTATAACAGAGGGGTTTCTCGTTGCGATGTTTTTGATATTGCTGGGATGTTGACCGAGGAGAATGACTAGGATGACTGGGTGACTGGAATATGGCTATTATGCACTCTTCTTCTTTACTTTTACTTCAATCCACTCTTTTGAAATTACACATGATACGTGTTGTAAGGCATGAATTATTGTTATGGGATGTGTGTGGTGGCACTGGGATTCATACCCAATCTATTAACGTGTACCGTATAGGCAAGCAACTTAATTTGCTAATACAATCGAATTGTTGCGTGTCATCATATATATATCGTTTTTATCCAGCGCCATTTACATTATTATGACGTACGTCTTGACTTGCTCTTGCTATCGCCAAATAAATACTGACAATGAATGGCTAGAAAGGCACCAAATCCCCGCCGTTGCCGCGTGGTAGGGAGCTCCAGGGGTATGCGACGCTGGGCGCGGCGTACTGTGGGGGGGGGGAGGGGTGTGACGTGCATAAGTTGGTTTACTGTGGAAAGTTACGAGATGGTAATTTTCAACGTCCATCAAACTTTCTTAGATGTTCAAAGTTTTTATACGTTTCGTTACTGCGAGTCGGCAGCGTTTCAATATATGACCGCAGTGTGGGTGTGGGGAGACGTGGACACGCATTTTTGGGCTTTAAGCTGGGTTATACGTATGGAAAAGTCGACGAGTTGATATTTTTAATATTTACTCAACTTATTTTATTCAGATAAATGTTTTTACGTTAGTTCCGTGCGGTCAGCAAAACGTATCCACATTTGAACGTTGCGGCGGACGGGCGTGGCTAGCATTTTCGCACGTATTATTGGCATGTGGCGGATGCACGTGAATGTGTCTGAACTAGTGCTACACAAAAGGACAGAAATGATTGTGAGTAGTAAGACAGAGTCGTTTTGATGAGCACCTCGAGTAATGTATAGAACGTGGCATTCGTAGATATCGATATATTTTAACAAATTGATCAATTGTGCTAGATGGCACTATACCCGATTTGTAGCATGGTGTTTGTAACTAGGTTATGCTGCGTCTCCACATGTTTTTGTAATCCTATATGACGTGTTCCGGCAGGGTGGGGAGGAATACCATTTTGCATAAGATCTGTCAATAATCTTGTCCAACGAACAGGGTGTGAACACCACAGCTGTTTGTGACCTATATATATGATATTATGGCCAAACCTACTAGTTGTGCATACATTTTTTTTTATATCCAAAACCTAGCCCTTATTCATTCACATTGTGGCGTGGAAACGTGGCAAAATCTGTTGAACCTGAACTGACTATGAATTCCCATGTTTTGCCAAAAATATTGCGTGTGCTCGAAATACCGTACTGGCCGTGCTTCAAATTAGGCGTTTACTATGCGGCATGCGGTAAACTTTACCCAATTTCAACATGTGACAAACGGCTTCTGCGTTTAATCTTTGACCAAAGCGAATGTTGACGGCGATGACGGTACGGATGGTACGACGACCATGGCCTTAGCTCAGCTGACGATGTAGGTGAGCCTAAAAACGTGCGCGCATCCCTGGGTGGAGGGACAACTCCTGATTGTATTATTCAGTGGCTGCAGTGGCAAAAGTTGTCAACTCAGTGGACCAAAAGTTCAGAATAGATGTTCTAAGCTATCAATAG